CTTGCCCTACAAATGGAATTGCACAAGGCTCAGGTACTGACTCCAATGCCTGCAAGATTTGGGTTGGCTTAATAGCTTCTCTTAGAGGAGTTCCAACACTGATATTGAATTCAGATATATGAAGTTTTTATAGACCTTTTTGGAATTCCTTCTAGTGTCCCTAATCCCAGATAATACAAAACCTAGAAAATAACTCAAGTCTTATTCTTTCAGGAAACACATGGTAAATGATGCATGGAAATTGCTTTCCTTGTCTTTAACCTCTTGACCCTAGCTAATAATTATTATTTTTTTATTGCTTAAAGTATTACAAAGAGTATTACATATGTCTCCTTTTTTTCCCCCTGCCCTTGACAATCCACTGGCCTCCCCTACCCCCCAGTGTCTTATGTCCATTGGTTATGCTTATATGCATGTATACAAGTCCTTTGGTTGATCTCTTACCCACCCCCCTCCTGCCCTCCCACCCTCCCCGGCTTTCCTGCTGTAGTTTGACAGTCTGTTCGAGGCAGCTCTGCCTCTGTATCTATTTTTGTTCATAAGTTTATAATGGTCTTTATTATCCAGAAATGAATGAGATAATGTGGTATTTTTCCTTCATTGACTGGCTTATTTCACTTAGCATAATGCTCTCCAGTTCCATCCATGCTGTTGCAAATGGTAAGAGTTCCTTCTTTTTTACAGCAGCATAGTATTCCATCGTGTAGATGTACCACAGTTTTCTAATCCATTCATCTACAGATGGGCACTTAGGCTGTTTCCAGATCTTTAGCTAATAATTATTAGAAGAGGACCAGACTCCAAAACACTAACTGTGGCTAAAAATGTACCAAATTGTTAGATTAATACTATTTAGGTTCAAGGAACAATGATCAACTTGAGTATTCTAAGCAAAACCAAAATGTTTCATTTATATGCATGAAAAACAACAGGTCCCAAAAGGAGTCACTCAACCCTTAATGCCTAGACTGCACTTCCCACTTCTCCCAGGAGTGGAACTTTGAACCAATCAGTCTGGAATTTCTTAGTCAGCATTAGTGACTGCTCCATAATACCCTCTGCCTTCCATTAAGGGAAGGCAGGGGAGGGTAAAAGTAGGTTTACAGTTGTTACACAAATAAATACAATAATTAATAAATAATAATTAAGAATAAACTCTGCTTTGCATACACACAACTGTAAACCTACTTTTCCCAGCTCCTGTATAAAGAGATATATGCCACAACTTCTGTAGCCATTCACCAATTGATAAACACTTAGGTTGCTTCTTGTCTTGGCTATTGTAAATAATGTTACTATGCATGTGGGGTACAAATATCTCTTTGATGAAGTGTTTTCACCCCCCTGACTGGGCTGGGATTGGGGTGGGGCATGGCAGACCAGCCTCTATGGCTGTATTGCTCTTTGATAACTCAAATAAGACCTACCTGTGCCCCTCTGAGTTCCCCTGTCAAATAGCTCCTTGTCTTGGCTCTGCACATGAGCAAAATGCTACTACTTGAGCCCTGTAGACAGGAACTCAGACTGCCCAGATCCCAGTGCTACCTATTGCAATCCCTGCCCCACTACTCTATCACAATCAGATTCTCAGTGGTTAAGACCACAGATTCCCTGGCAATCCCCATGGGGCAAGATTGGAGAGGGGCTCCACAATGGTAGGGGCACAGAAGGTCATCCCTGGGTCCAAGCTTGTCACAAAGTCTATTTACTTATAATGAAGCTGCACCAAAGTATTGCTAAATAGAAAACAACTCCACCGTTAGGTTAGGAGAGAATTTATTTGAAAGTATTATTGCAAGAGGAGAAAGGAAAGGGGGTTGTTATGATAGGGAAGGGGAACTATTTCAACATGGAGAACCCCAGACCATCTGAAAAGTCAAGCAGAAATGACTGTTCTTTTGTAAAGAGGATTAAGCCAGGTACATGAGTCTTCCCACTGCCAATTTCAGCCCAGGCCAAATGTGGGTCAAAGTTCAGTTCTAAGCAGAGGATAGAAGTTTAAGTTTGGTTAAGTCCACTAACACTTTGCTAACACATCAGAACTTTGTTCTGGTGGATTGGTGGCGTTGAACAGTCAAGCTAACCATTTATGAGGTGTCAGAAACAGCTAGAGCTCTGCCAGAGCACTGCTGCTCTGAGTCCATATACTCTTCTGAATTCTGCAGGGCAGGTTCCTTCTCAAATCCTGCCCATTGCACTAACTGTTGGGTCCAAGCTCCTCTGCCAGGAGCTAGGCCTTCTGGAACACCAGGTCTTAGATGGAGAAGCCATGAGAAATTGTGGGTGTATAAGAATGAGTCTTTATTGCAGGAGCTAGTGGCCATATAGCCATCAGACAAAACAGTTCTTTACAGCAAAGTTCCATATAGATCTCCACACAAACCAAATAAATCTTTCCTACAAAAGCACTATCCTCTTCTGTGCCCACAGCTATTATCTGAGCAGCCACACACTGCCCCTAGATTCATCACTTCACATAGTAGTAGCACCTGAGCTCTCTGCCTCAACAGTTTCTCCAACCTTTCCAGCCTTACATAGTAGCTACACCAGTCTGTGCCTACCTCAGCTTCTCCAGCACACTCTAGCTGGTCATTACCATGTATTGTACCATTTAAACAAAAGAGGCCTTTAGCCAACAATGACATCAATCATTTGGGCTACAGAAAAGCATGCGTTCACAGTATACCATGAGATCACTGTGGCCTTGCACCTGCTTATGGTATCTTAGGTTTGAACATTTTGATTAAGATTCCCATGTTCAGAGTGGCCTTGACCATTCTGGCATACTAACAACAAGGTCTTGACTATCTGGGGTCTCTGGTGTGGTTCCCACATTTAGAGGTAAGTCTAAACAGGGCTAGAGAGAAGCCTGAAAGGAAGGGAGGAATGCAAGAGAGGCAGGATGGATACAGCTCAGAGAATGTTTTGCCCTGAATTCAGCCTCTTCTTGGTAGGGACTAAGAATGGGGTTATATGCTGACTCATTCCAGGGGAAGGAGAGAAACTGAACTCAAGTTTGGTTCCCAAGCAGTTTGTTCTGAAATATCAGTGGGGATTCACAGTTAGCTAATCATTCATGAGACAAACACTGGGAATTTGGAGCATCAGCATCTGGCTTTATTAGAGGTAAACAAGAAGGACAACCATGTGTCTTAAGTCAAATGGGGGAAGGCTGGTTCCTTGCAGTGAGCCATTTCAGGAATGCATCAGCCAGAGAATTGCATCTACTGAAATACGCTTTGACCTCAGTCTTTTGGCTAGCTTTGAGAATTAGCTCTACAAGTCTTTTTGCTTTAATTATTTGAAGGGTACTGTTGAAGATTTTAACTGCTATGTAATGATTCTGAATATGGCTGCATGAGAGAAGTGTTGGAGGGAATGTGGAGCACATGGAAAGCCCCTCCACTGCTATAGGAACATAAACTAGTGCAGCCACTTTAGGAAAACACTTTGGCAGTTTCTTATGAAGCTCAACATACGTGTGACTGTGCACATGCACTTCTATGCATTTACCTAAGAGGAACAAAAACGTATGTTCAAGTATTTGTACATGAATGTTCACAGCAGCTTTAGTTATAAGCATTAAATATGAGAAACAACACAAATATATTTTAACAGGTGACCAGATAAGCAAATTTTGGTAGATCCTTGCAATGAAATACTATTCAGCAATATAAATAAATGAACTGTTAATATAGATAACAATTTGAACTATTCTCAAAGGCATTTTACTAGTGAAAGAATAGACTCAAAAAGATTCATATTAAATAATTTCTTATCTTTGATACTCTGTAAAGAAAATCAAATTAATGATTGTTAGGAGCTTGGAATAAGAGAAATATGGATTGCAAGGGACATAAGTAAACTCTGGGGTATTCAAATTGACTATTTTTATTATGGTACTAGTTACATAAATATGTACATTTTTTTAAAACTCATCATCAAGTGTCCACTTAAAGTTGGTAAATATTATTGTATGTAAATTACATCTCAATTAAGTTGAACAACAATAAAAATAGTCTGAAAAAATTAAATATATAATTTAGACCTCATATTTCCAATAAGACGTTCTAAATACCAAAACACTAGGAGCAGGATTAAATAATTTTAAATATTTTTCAGATGGCTTTAACACATAGTTGAGTTTGGAAAATGTTTTACTACAGCGTTTGTTTGTCTTCTATATAAGCGTTCTTTTATTTATTTTTATTTTTCGGCTCTAGAAGCAAGAAAAGATATGCTTTATTTAAGTTAAAGTGATAGCAATAATAAAAATGGTTGACACATACTGATTACTACTCCATGCCAGGCACTCTTTAGACGTCAAATTAAATGTCTCATTTACCATGAGCCAGATTGCATGGAGACACTCAATAGACATTTTGGATGATAGTGTGGAAACTGTTGCTTCTACTAATGATAATAATAAACAGGATACTAATAATTATAATAATTAATTGAGTGCTTACTATGTCCCCAGCACTGTTCTAAGAACCTTACATGTATTTATTTATTTAATTGTTCAACTACTCTATGGGGCAGTTGCTATAGTCATTGTCATTTATAGAAGAGAAAACCAAGGCAGGGAAGAGTTAAAGTAAATTGCCTAAAGGCATATAGCTTCTAATTGGCAAGGTGAGGCTTGTCATGAATTAAAGTTAATCTCAAAGGATGCTCATTCATGCTTAGAGCATATATTTGTTAATCTCAGTGAATCCTTAATTATTGGAAAAGTGGATAATGTAAAAATCAAAATGAAAATTTAAAAATATTTTTTAAAGATTAAAATATATGAAAAATAATTTTAGAAAGAGGCATCTGTGCTTTCTGCCAGATGTATTCTTCCTTAGAGTTAATGAGGAGTTTAGTGAATGGGCACCAATGAAATGGCTGGGATAAAGGCCAGACCATTAGCTAGAACTGCCTATTAGGTCTGTTTTGTGTCTTAGTATGTCTTTTAGCACTTCTCATTCCTTGATGTTTCTTGATCCCCTCTTTAGGATAAGGTACCTGCCAAGATGTTCCAATTATAAGACCCACGAATGCTGCAGATGCTAGAGAAATCCCTTGAGGAAATTCCTCCCTGAGTCCCTAAAGGTGAGAGTGGAGCCTTCTAGGGAAAAAAGGAATAGTGACTGCCTATGAAATATGTGGGAAAGAGAATAAGCATTCACTGAGCCCCTGTTCTGTGCCAGGCATTCACTCATCTTGCATCTCACATAGTTCACATCATCTTGCTGCCAAGCAGGTATATTATATCCATGTAACCAAAGAGAATCTGGAGGCTCAGTTCTATGACTTGACCAAGATCACACAAGTAGTGAGTGGCAACACTATGATTTGAACGCACTATGATCTTTGCTATGTGATGACCCAAAACCATTCCCTTCGGCCCTTCTAAGAACTATGTCAGAGAGCAATGCAAGTGTTTCCAGAATTGCAAAGTTGTCTGAAACTAACTCATTAGTGTTCTAATCATTCTTTCCAAAAATCAAATGAGTGGTGAAACATTAACCATTATGATTCTTCTTTGCAATTAATAATGGGTCTATTTTTATTTTATCAAACCCAAATTAATTATATCTAATTTTAGATTATATAGATATTTAGTTTTAGAAATGGAACAATGGTCTCGTACCATAGAGATATTCTTTGTTTTTTGTTTGTGTTTTATTTTTTTTTTCAATAATACATATTGCAAAAGGACTAGAATATTTCCAAAGATAAAAAGTGCCATTGCATTATTGCATTATGATCAAAGTATCAATTCACCAAAAAATGCTAACATGTCTACACATAACAACAGAAGCTCAAAGTATCTGAAGTGAAAACTGATGGAACTGAAAGAAGAAATAGGTAAATCCACAGACATAATTTAAGACTCCAACACTTTACTCTCAATAATTTATAGACTATATATAAAACCTGGAAGGATATAGAAGAGCTGAGCAATACTATAAGCCAACTTGAACAAACTGACATTTACATAATACTTTCTTTAACAATAGCAAAATGCATATTATTTTTAAAAGCATATTGAACATTTATCAAAATAGACCATATTTAAAATTTTTTTAAAGAATTGAAGTCATATCAAGTATGTCCTTGAATTATATGGAATTAAAAATTAAAAGAGCCCTAGCCAGTGGATAGAGCATTGGCCTGCAGACTGAAGGATCCCTGGTTTGATTCTGGTCAAGGGCACATACCTCTGTGGCAGGTTCCTTCCCAGCCCAGGCCCTGGTCAGGGAGCTTGCAGGAGGCAACCAATGGATAGATATGTTTCTCTCACATTGATACTTCTCTCTGTCTTTTCCTCTCTCTTCTATTCTCTAAAAATCAATGAAAAAATATTCTTGTGTGAAGATTTTTAAAACAAATTTAAAAGAGACCTGAGAAGTATCTGGAAAATACCCACATATTTATAAATTATACAACACACTTCTAAATAACTGATGCTTGAAATTCACACAAAAATTAGAAAACATTTTATTTGAATGAAAATGGAAGTACATTTCTATAGTTTTGGGATGCAACTAAAGCAGTGATAAGTGGGAAATATATAGCATTCAGTGCTTGTGCTATCTATATATATAATATAATCTATATATATAAAAGGTTAATAAGCAAAGTGTCCCCTCAGGAGTTTGACCCCTCGCTATGATGTGCACTGACCACAAAGGGGCGATGCGGAATGAGGAAAGGCGAAGGCCCTGGCAGGCAGCTGGAAGGCCCCAATCGGCCCTGATTGCTGGCCAGGCCTAGGGACCTTACCCATGTAAGAATTTTGTGCGCCAGGCCTGTAGGAAAAGAATAACGGTCTCAAATCAATGCTTTAAGTTTTCTCCTTAAAAACTAGCAAAAGAAAAGTAAATAAACCCTAATGCAAACAGAATTAAGGAAATTATAAATGATAAGAGCAGAAACCAATGAATTTGAGGGGAGAAAAACAGTTAAGAAAATCAACGCCTCCAAAAAACTGGTTCTTTGAAAAGATTAATCACTAAACTGACTAAGAAATAAAGAAAAGAAGACAAATTACCTACATTAAGAATGAAATAGGGGACATTACTACAAACCCTATACAATTTTATAATGATAAATAAAAACATACTAGTATCAACATTAGGCCCATAATTTCCACAATTTATGGCCTGTGAAAAAGCACTAATTACCAAAGGTCACTGACTCAGCTAAAACTAAAATCATCTGTTTTGGTAGGCATCACCTAATATTTGTCTCGTTTGTCTATATTAATACTTAACTACCTTCAATTAGCAATCCTATATAATGAATTAACACATCCTACAGATAGTGAACCTTTTATTTTTTTTGGAGCAGGAGGGAGTAAATAAGTTTGATGCTCTGTAGACTAAGACATTTTTAGCTTGAGTGGCTTCTTTGAAAGTTTTTCAGATTAAATGTTTTTCTTTCATGCTCTATAGTGCAGATCTCTGGTGTTTGAATCATTCTTCTTGTGTTAAATGGATCTCAACTTTTTGGAAAAAACTCTTGACACTACTCTTAGCCCAACTCAATTGAGCAAAGCAAGCCTCAGTATTAGATCTTGGCTTAGGGATACTATCATGTGCAGAGAAACCAAGAGTGATTTCAGTTTTTTAATTGAATGTATATGAATTTCACTGGTCTCTAACTCCAATGTTAAAAAGATTTAACCTCTTTCTTTTTCTTTTTCTTTTTTTTTAAATATATATTTTATTGATTTTTACAGAGAGGAAGGGAGAGGGATAGAGACTTAGAAACATCGATGAGAGAGAAACATCGATCAGCTGCCTCCTGCACACCCCCTACTGGGGAAGTGCCCGCAACCAAAGTACATGCCCTTGACCAGAATTGAACCTGGGACCTTTCAGTCCGCAGGCTGATGCTCTATCCACTGAGCCAAACCAGTTAGGGCTAACCTCTTTATTTTTCAAAAAACTGCATTTAATATTTATATTGAGTCCTTGCTAATGGCAGAAATTTAATGATATTATAGAAACTTAGTAAAATCAAAGTTTGCCTCTTCCTCTTTGTCCTTAGTCTGGCATAAATGTTTCATGGCAAGGGTAGGAAAGCACAGGGTCAGCTGTGGTCTTTAGTCATTGAAATGTTCATTAATCTATTGGTCCTGGTCTTTGGCATCTTTCCATATCATCTGCTGAGTCATCATGTGTCAGCCTGAGGTCCTGTCAGGCAATTTCTTTTTCCCTCTGCCCAAAACCACAAGGCCCCTTCCAGCCTACAGAGGGTCATTCTTAGCTTCTTCAATGTTTTTCTTCTTTTAAAAAAATATATTTTTATTGATTTCAGAGAGGAAGGGAGAGGGAGAGAGAGATAGAAACATCAATGATGAGAATCATTGATTGGCTGCCTCCTGCATGCCCCCTACTGGGGATAGAGCCTGCAACCCAAGCATGTGCCCTTGACCAGAATTGAACGTGGGACCCTTCAGTCTGCAGTCTGATGCTCTATCCACTGAGCCAAACCACCTAGGGCTCAGTGTTCTTCTTGATGGCCCCATGTTTCAACAAATGCCTGCAGAAAAGTCTAAACAGACTGCCCAATGGATGATGTTCTTGGACTTTGGCCATCAAACATTTTGCTTTGTCTCTACTTACTAAATAGGCAGGAGCTCTTTTAACCTTCCTGAAACGTAATTTGGAAATATGTGTAAAGAAAAAAAATCTTTAAACAGCCACTGACATTTGACCCAGAAATCCCTCTTCAAAATTTTGTAATAATAGGTATATTTGCAAAGATTTTTGCAAATTAATGTTCTGTGAATAATACACTGTTAAACTAAAAATTAGAAAACAGTAAAATGACCTGCAGTAGGAAATATAAAAAAATTAAGTTAACATTCTTTTCTATAATGGATAGTAGAGGCCCAGTGCACTAATTCATGCATGGGGGTAGAGGGGGTGATCAGGGTTTGCCAGCCGGAGAGAGGGACTGCAAGAGGTTGACCAGCTGCCCCTGATCTAGTTGTGCAGATGTGCTGAGGTAGCAGCAAGCAAAGACCACAGACAGAGCTCCCCAAAATGGCCTGAACACCTGAGGTGGAAATACAGCTCTACTTCGTTGCCCGTGCTCAGGCAGCCTCACTCTCCCCAGGGCAGAGTTTCTGACAGACAGACAGGTCGTCTCTCCTACCTCAGCCACACATTTTCTCAGGGCTCCACCACCAAGCAGGATAGGTAGCTGATTTCGGCTAATGGTGGCACACCACGATAGGAGTGCTAGCCAATCAGTGGTTGGGAGCCCCGAAAGGCACAGGGCCAAGCTAGAAGTGGCTGATGGGGGCAGAAGGGCGTGCATGGTGCAGTGGCAGAGGTAAGATGGTGGTGGTGCTTACTTTGTCTTTGCAGTTAGGCTGCTGCCTTGTCCCTTTTGCCCCCTCCAAGCTGCTACTCTATCTCAATCAGCATCTGGATCATTCTCCTCCTACAGGCTTCCCAGACCCAGATTCTCTGGTGCCCAGAGCCTTAGCCAGGGGAAGGGACCAGCTGGGGGTAGGGACCTAGGGAGGTTGGCTGTGGGAGCGCACCAAGGGGCAACACCTGCATTGACCATTTGCCCCCTGGTTGTCAGTGCATGTCATAGCGGCTGGTTGACTGGTTGTTCTGGTTGTTCCAGTTGTTTGGTCATAATGGTCTTTTAGGCTTTAATACACTGAGTGGCCAGATTATTATGACCACCTGATGTTTGTAGGCAAATTAGCTATAATTTCGCGCTGAAGTTGCTAGAGGGCCAGACCATTATAAATAGGGAAGCAGGTTGTTTACCACGACAGTAGAAGTGATTTTTTTCTGAAGATATGGGTAAACAACACGATTTAACAGCCTTTGAACGTGGGATATATTTGAACGTGAGTGGCCAGATTATTATGACCAGCCCATCAGTACTTCGTTGGGCCACCTTTTGCCTTCAATACTGTGGCGATTCTTCTTGGCATTGACTCCAGGAGATGTTGAAAGGTGATGTGAGGGATCTGACACCATGCCTGATGAATAGCACTGTCCAGTTCTGTGAGATATGATGGTTGTGGAACCAGCTGCCTGATGGCTCTTTTAACTTCATACCACAAATGCTCAATTGGATTGGGATCTGGTGATTGTGGGGGCCACCTAAGCAAGGTAAAGTCTCCCTCATGTTCTTGAAACCACTCCTGCACAATACGAGCACCGTGGCGTGGCACATTGTCTTGTTAGAAGAAGCCATCTCCATTGGAATACGCCATCAACATGATAGGATGAACTTGATCAGCATACTTAGGTATGTTGTGCTATTCAGATGTTGTTCCACACGAAATAAAGGGCCCAAATCATGCCAGGAAAACATGCCCCAAACCATAACACTGCCCCCACCAGCTTGAAGGGTTGTATTCACACATGTGGGGTGCATGCTTTCATGCTGTTTCTGCCAAATTCTCACTCTGCCATCTGCATGTTGCAACTGGAAACGTGATTCATCAGACCACATGACTTTTTTCCAATGCTCAACTGTCCAATCCTTGTGTTCTTGTGCAAATTGGAGACATTTTATCTTGGTAACTGCAGACAGCAAAGGTGTTTGAACAGGCCTTCGGCTTCCATATCCCATATGATGCAGTGTATAGCTAATTTGCCTATAAATGTCAGGTGGTCATAATAATCTGGCCACTCACGTTCAAATATATCCCACATTCAAAGGCTGTTAAATCGCATTGTTTACCCATATCTTCAGGGGAAAAAATCACTTCTGTCATGGTTGCTTCCCAATTTATAATGGTCTGGCCCTCTAGCAACTTCAGCGCAAAATTATAGCTAGTTTGCCTACAAACATCAGGTGGTCATAATAGTCTGGCCATTCAGTGTATATATAGACTAGTGGCCTGGTGCATGAAATTCATGCACAGAGGGGAGGGGGTTCCATCAGCTCAGCCTGCACCCTCTCCAATCGGGGACCCCTTGTGGGATGTTCGACTATGGGATTGGGCCTAACCCGGCAGTCAGACATTCCTCTTGCAATCTGGGACCACTAGCTCCTAACCGCTCACCTGCCTGCCTGCCTGATCGCCCCTAACTGCCTCTGCCTGCCTGCCTGATCACCCCTAACTGCCCTCCCCTGCCGTCCTGATCTCACCCCCAACTGCCCTCCCCTGCTGGCCTGATCTCACCCCCAAGTGCCTATGCCTGCCTGATCACCCCTAACTGCCCTCCCCTGCCAGCCTGGTTGCCCCCAACTGCCCTCCCCTGCTGGCCTCATCTCGCCCCCAATGGCCCTCCCCTGCCAGCCTGATCTCACATCTAATTGTTCTCCCCTTCTGGCCTGATCGCCCCTAACTGCCTCTTCCTGCCTGATCACCCCTAACTGCCCTCCCCTGCTGGCCTGATCTTGCCCCCCAACTGGCCTCCCCTCCGGGCCAATTTTGTTCTGATTGGTCAGTTTCTATGCCAGTCAGCATCAAAAGCTCTACCTCCTAGGCAGCCATTGGATCCTCACAGTTCACCCATATTTGGTTCTGATTGGTTTGTTTCTATGCCAATCAGTGTCTCTGGGCCTATCTTTGGGCCTGATCAGAGAGGCAGGGCTGATCAGCTGCCCATGCAGAGGCCTGGAAAGAAAGAGAAAGAGAGGCACGGCTCCTGGCGAAGTCCGGAAAGAGAGAGGCAATGGCTGATCAACGGATGCTGCAGATCAGATCCTGCCTCTCTCTCCTGGCCTCTCTCTGGGCCTAATCCTCAGCCCCCTTGGCAGCCAGTGCTGGGTCACTGTGCCCGCGCCGGCAGCAGTCAGTGCTGGGTCACCACGGCAACCCAGCACTGACTGCAGGACTGACTTCTGGTGTTCTGTCCAGCCTTCAGTCAGTCGTTACAGAACCTGGGTTTTCATACATTAGGATTATAAAGTCATTAAAATGATTATATAAGATTTGTGTTTCTGGACATTAAAATATGACCATTGTATAGTATGTGTATGTGTGTGTGGAAGGGCATAAATGTTAGACAAATGTATATTAGGTAATTTCATTATGAAAGCACTCTTGACAACTGTAAAAACAACCCGGAGAGGTAAAGAAACTAGTTTAAGATACAAGGGAAGGGGGTAGATGCCCTGGAATCTTCTGAGTGACTGAGTGCAGGTGATGGCTGAAGGAGAGAGAGGACTAGGGGTCTGACTTCCAGGACCGGGTACAGAAGGATCCCAGTCTTTTGTTGTAATCAACTGTGAGATACAGACCCTACTGGGACCTAGGAGTTCACTCTGTTGATAGTGACAGAATACTTTCATTGTCCTTTGTCCTTGGAGAAAGAGTAATAAATGATTGTAATGACTTTAATCCAGGAGATAAGATTGAGAATTAATACTCTAAGAGGGACAAGACTCCTAAAAAGGGCAGAAAAAAAAAATGCAAACATGCTCTGTACTGGTCCATGGACTGAGGGAGCACTCAAGCTTTTTGCACTTTCTCTGTTTTTACTTTCGCTACCTTGTCCCAGTTCCTTGAATTAGTTACTCTTGTTGACTCCATGATGAAACACTCTACTAATGTGGTAAACAAGGATAAGCGTGATGAGGACAAGATAGAGACAGCGACAAACTTCCCTCCTTCGTTGTCTCACACAGTGGCATTGATATTCAAATGATCACTTCTATGAATCCCACCTTACTTTTCTGAGGATGGTAGATCAAGAGTTAACGTGGGACAGTGAGCACATTGGAGTGAAGAGGCTCTGGGTTTAAATTCTACCTAACTCAGCCACACTAAGCCTCAGTTTCCTTCTCTACGAAAGTGAGACTAAGAAGTGCCCACATTGAGTCATATTTAGGATGCTTATCTGCAGCCTCGGAATGGGCAGTGGTGAGAGCACAGCTTATACTAAAAAAGGAGGATTCTAAAAGCTTTAGTAACACCATTCAAGTGATATTCTGGTCTCCATATGTGTAAGAAAATAGATCTGATTTTGCAAATCAGATCTTATCCATATCTTTCCTACTACCTTGCTCTTATTACAGGTACTTGAAATGGGAAGGGAAAGAAGAAGGTATAGTCTACACAATCTGACCCTCCTTCTAGTGTCAGCCTGGCAGTCTCGCACACGTTGCAGAGACATGGCAAGGCCCGTGGGGGCAAAGAGCAACCTGGCATTTGGTGGGTGTAGCTCAGATGGCACACTGTCAGCCTCTGAACCTTGCAGAGCCAGCTCCTTCACCCTGAACCCAGAGAAGAAGAGCTGGATTTCATGAGAGCTGACGCCATAAGATTTTGCTTTGTGCACTGTCCACCTTACAAGCCTCAGCTCAGCAATTTCTGGAATGCACTCTGTTAGATCCTGTTGAACTGCCTGCATTAAGAGGTAATTGCATCATGGGGAAGTCTTCCATTCTCATTTATCTCTGGGGACACCTGTGAAGATTGGTGTGGAGACAACTCTCCAGGTAAGGACTCATGCTCCTCTCCTCCCCCAAAAAACATAATCATTGTTTTGTGATCCTCTCCACTTACATGACACAAACCTAAATGTCATATTGTGTTATGTTCAGAAATACCCTGTGCCTTAGGATAAGAAATAACTTCAACTTCAGTAATATACATCTAGCACCTGCTCTGTAACAGGCAACTCGTTAGGCACTGAAAAATTTCTTACAGATTTGAATAGATAAATGAATGAATGAAGAGAATTTTGGGCACTTTCTGGAAGTAGGTGAATGGAACACTTAATATGGGAGACACTGAAAACATGACCATATTTAATCCTCCTGGTTATATTATAAATTCTTTTGGTTTTTTTTCCAATGGATTTTAGTTGCATCATACATTAATTAAAAAAAATGTACAAATTGACCCTTTTAATTTATTTCATTTTTTCCATCACCATTTATACTCTCTAAGCCAAGCAGGTCAAACTTGCGGTCCGTGGCCCACAACGAATATTTTGGTGGCCCAGCCAATATAATGGTATATAAGTAATGTTTTAATAAAAATTTCATAACTTAATTTTTACAATATCTTGTTATACATAATTATTAATAATGAGCTACAACGTCCGCTAATGACTGATTACTATAATCATGTTGCATTCATGTCCCTTACGCGCCTTACATGCAGGTGCACCATTTCTCTCCACTAATACTAGCAGCAAATAGTCTAGCAGCCGATTGCCACATCATTAGTCTTAGACTGACTTGTTTGGTGCGCGCAACAGGGAAATATTTTGCTTTCAGAGAACAAGAAAAATAGATTTATTTGCGTTACGCTTATTAATTTGTGCAGTTAGTATCTGGTAAGTTAATGTTCAAGAAAAAAGATTAATTTTTATTAAAATGTCCTATTATTTTATGCTAATGATTACTCATTTATTTCAGCCCTTTGTATTCAGCAGGTCTCTATCGAAATAAACCTACATTTATATGAAAATTGAAGCTTTTGTTTTTTTGCGGCCCACATAAACTTCAACCTTGTTTCTTTGGCCCGTGTTAGCCTTTGAGTTTGATAGGCTTGCTCTAAGCCCTCTTTCACCTCCACCCACCCCATCCACTGTTGTCCATGTCCGTGAATTTTCTCTCTCTCATTTTTTTTGGGGGGGGGGGGTTCAATCCCTCCAACACTCCCAACACTCTCCCCCATCCCAGAGCTGTCAGCCTGCTCTCTATCTATGAGCGAGCCTCCTTGGAATTCCTGTTTACTCTTGATTAGTTCAACCTGCTTGTGCACAGGATATGTTGAGGAGAATACAGAAAAGTTAATGTGCCAGCGTGTGTTTCTTGGCATCTAGAAGGGTTCAGGAATCTGGAGAAGGGGCTGCTGTAAATTATTAAAGAGTCTAGAGACGAAACATAATTTTGGAAGGCATTTTGGGGAGCCAGAGAAGACTTAGCTAAAGAAACCAAGTCCTCTGTCTCTCTGGATCCCTTGCTTTTTATTCATACAAATTGTCCTAAGGCAAAGTAGATATACAGATCAAAGGCAAGGTTTAGTGCACAGAATCCATTGTCAGATTGGGGGAACTGCCTACCTATGGCTGTTCAGGTGTTTGGCCACTAGGAGGCAATAAAATGTAGATTAAAATGCCCTCAGAGGCAGCAAGCAATCATCTATGCAGATCTTTAGGTGTGGGGAAATGCCCTTAGCCATTTCCAGCAGGCAATCCTTAAGGTTCCATCAACCTTTTTTTTTTTTTAATATATTTTTATTGATTTCAGAGAGGAAGGGAGAGGGAGAGAGATATAGAATCATCAATGATGAGAGAGAGAATCATTGATCGACTGCCTCCTGCCCACCCCTGACTGGGGATCGAGCCTGCAACCCAGGCATGTGCCCCTGACCAGAATCGAACCTGGGACCCTTCAGTCCTCAGGCCAACGCTCTATCCACTGAGTCAAACTGGCTAGGGCTCCATCAACCTTTTGATGAAACTTCTTGCATTTATGACATGCTGGAGTTAGCTTCCGGCATTAATGGAAGTTTAAAAGTCAATAAAGTGGTGGGACAACCTGATGACAGAGCCACGTCCTTGAACATGGGACCCAGGGGGAGGTTCTCCACCTCACACTCTGCTGCCTGAAGATTCCACAGCGTGCTTCACGGGTTCTATTAAGAAATCAGCTCACCTGTTGGGGGAGGAAACAGATCAAAGTACACTCTTCTAGATCACTACACTCAGAGGACACATTTCACCTTCTGGAATAATCTGCTGCTTCTTGTCTTTGCCCGAGGATCTCTGCAGAGACTGAATGAGAGAACAGCTTTGCAGGTGAGAACAAGGGAGAATCATTGCTCTGGGACCCCTCGTCTCCTTTTGCTTCCCCTCTGTAGGGGAGTGATTCAGAATGCTACTGCTGGGTGTGCGTGAACATTTCAGAATTCATTAGTAATCAGAATTTTGCAGGGAAAAAGAAAGCATTTCCATTTGAGGAACCTGTATGAGGAACCTAGGGTGTATAGGGCAGTACCCTAGTTCTGTGAGAAATTCTTGACGGACTAAAGTCAGGCTTTTGCTCTGAATTGGTAAATAAATGTGGGGAAAAAAACCGAGAGTTTTCCATTGGTAGATAAGTAACAGAAAATGTAACAGTCCCTAGGAAGGAATATGCTGGTTCAGGTGACATTTATATAGCACAATTTGTACATGTATCATGCAAATGTTATTTTTTTAAATCCTGAACATTCTAAAGGTAGTCAGGTTTTTTCCCCCTTGGATAAATAATGACTAGGAAAATTACGTTCCCTGCTTAGAGCTTCAAAAGGACAATGTAGATTCTGGTACCAGGACTATAATTCAGATGAGATCAATTATTAACTGAAGGGCATAAAAATAAATGTAATTTTAATAATCTCAGATGAACTGTCACTTTTCCACCCTTTTTATGTTAAGTTAAAGTTATCCCCTATGGCACCATATATAGCATAAACTTCATGTGAATGGGTCTTAGAGTAGGAAAATAATGATAAGTCATACCTGATTTACCATGTGCCAGATTCCATGGATTCTCCCCCATTTAAACCACATCACAAATTCTTCTTTTTTTTTTTTTTTTAACTGTCTTTTCCTGAAATGTTGCAGATCGGTTACAGCAAACAGAACGGCGACCGTCAAGGAAAACTGTCACTCTGGGCTCCTTTTTGAACATCACAAATTCTTGTGTAGAAAAAGAGTCACTCAATAGACTTTTTGGATGACAGTGTGGTTAAATGTTGCTTCTACTAATGATAATAATCAACAGGATACTGATTATAATCATTAATTGAGTGCTTACTATGTCCCAGACATTCTTCTAAGAACCTTACATGTACTGATTTATTTAACTGTTCAGTTACTCTGTGGTGCAGGTACTATAGTCATTGTCATTTATAGAGGAAAAAACCAAGGCACAGAGGAATTAAGTAACTTGCCATATGGCATATAGCTTCTAATTGGCAAAGTCAGGCTGGCTTGTCATGAATGGAAACTTAATCTCGAAGGATGGTCATTCATCCTTAGAGAATATATTTCTTAATCTCTGTGGATCATTAATTACTAGAGTGCTGTATGATGTAAAAATCAAAATAATATTTTCAGAAATATTTTTTTATTATTGTCTACAGTTTTACATATGTCGTCTCTTTCCCCAATTGATACCTCCCCCCTCCCCAGCCATTTCCATCCCTGGAAAAATAACTTCAGAAAGAGGCACCTATGCTTTTTGCCAGACTTATCCTTCCTTAGAGTTGGTGAGGAGTGGGATGAATGGGGCACCAATGCAATTACTGGGATAAAGGCCAGACCATTAGCTAGAACTGCTTACTGTGTCTTCTTTGTGCCTTTGTACTAGTATGTATTCCAGCACTTCTCATTCCTTGATGTTTCTTGATCCCCTCTTTAGGATAAGGTACCTGCCAAGATGTTCCAATTACAAGACCCACGAATGCTGCGGATGCTAGAGAAATCCTTGAGGAAATTCCTCCCTGAGTCCCTAAAGGTGAGAGTGGAACCTTCTAGGGAAAACAGGAATAGTGACTGCCTATGAAATATGTGGGAAAGAGAATAAGCATTCACTGAGCCCCTGTTCTGTGCCAGGCATTCACTCATCTGGCATCTCACATAGTTCACATCATCTTGCTGCCAAGCAGGTATATTATATCCATGTAACCAAAGAGAATCTGGAGGCTCAGTTCTATGACTTGACCAAGATCACACAAGTAGTGAGTGGCAACACTATGATTTGAACGCGCTATGATCTTTGCTATGTGATGACCCAAAACCATTCCCTTCGGCCCTTCTAAGAACTATGTCAGATAGCAATGCAAGTGTTTCCAGAATTGCAAAGCTGGCTGTAACTAACTCATTAGGGTTCTAATCATTCTTTCTGAAAATCAAATGAGTAGTGAAACATTAACCATTATGATTCTTCTTTGCAATTAATAACAGATCAAGTTGTATTTTGTCAAACACAGATGAATTAGGTTTAGTTTGGGGTGACACAAACATTTTAGTTTTAGAAATGGATCAATGACCTTGTACCGTAGAGAGCTTTGTGTTTTTTGGCAATAGCATATGTTACAAAAGGACTAGAATATTACCAAGGATAAAAAATGCCATTGCATTATAATGAAGGTACCTATTTACTAAAACAAAAACAAAAAATGCTAAAATGTATACACCTAACAACAGAGGCTCAAAGTACCTGAAGTAAAAACTGATGGAACTGAAAGAAAAAATAGGTAAACCCGCAGATATAATTTGGTTTCTTTTTTTTAATTGAAGTTCTTTATTGTTTAAAGTATTACATGAGTCTTTTCCCCCACTGACCTCTCCCTGGCCACTCCCACCACCACCACCAGCACATGCCCTCACCCCCCTACTGTCTGTGTCCATTAGTTATGCTCATAACCCACAGATATAATTTAAGACTCCAACGCTTCTCCCTCAATAATGTTTAGAATTAATATAAAACCTGTAAGAATAGAGAAGAGCTGAACAATACTATGAGCCAACTTAAACTGACTTTTATGGAATACTTTCCTCAACAACAGTAGAATAATATTACTTTTTAAAGCACATTGAACATTTACAAAAATAGGCCATATTTTTAAGAATTTTAAAAGATTAGAAATTATATCCAGTATATCCTAAACAATATGGAATTAAACTTAAAATTTAACAAAACCTGAGAAGTATCTGGAAAATATCTACATATTTAGAAATTATACAATACACTTCTAAATAAATCATGCTTTAATGTCCCAGATAAGTTTTAAAATACTTTATTTGAGTGAAAAGGGAAGTACAACATCTCTAAAGTTCTGGGATGCAACGAACGCAGTGATAAGTGGAAATATATAGCATTCAGTGCTTGTTCTATAAGAGAATAATGGTCTCAAATCAATCTTTCAAGTTTTCACCTTAAAAACTAGCAAAAGGAGAGTAAAGTAACACCAAAGCAAATAGAATTAAAGAAATTATAAAAGATAAGAGTGAAATCAATGAATGTGGGGAGAGAAGAGCAATTAAGAAAATCAATGACTTCAAAATTTTGTTCTTTGAGAAGATTAATAAACAAACTGACCAAGAAATTAAGAAAGAAGACAATTTACCCACATAAAGAATGAAATAGGGGACACTACTACAAACCCAATAGACATTATAAGGATATATAAGGACATACTATTATCAGAACTAGGCCCATAATTTTTACAATTTATGGCCTGTGAAAAGCACAAATTACCTATCACTGACTTATCACTTAATATGGGAATCTTTTGTAGACTAAGCCCACAGGCACTTAGTATAAATCTAAATCACTGATTGTTCTGACTAACATAGGATAGGGTAACTGTGGAGAAGGCAGGATCTAGAGTCAGACTGTTGTGATTCCACAATTTACTGTTTCAGGGAAACATTGCAGAAGTTAAACATCTATGATTCTCAGTGTTCTTGGATGTAAAATGAGTAAAACCAGAAAGTCTATACTTTTTGATAGCTGTTTCTCAATCTTTACCAGGGTTACCAAATAAAACATGATAAAATTAATATCCAACTCTTCTTGAAGAGTTACTATCAGGAGTTACAGCAAGTATTTTACATAAACTCAAAGGTCTTACTTGAATCATACTGCTTCTCAATTAATTCCCAGGCTTGAACCAGATTACAAACCTAGACCCCTTGAATGAAGGGAAAAGTGGGTGCCCTTGAAAAAGAAATCACTACACTGTCAAAAATATGACCATTGTGTGCCACATCCAGCATGGCAAGAATTCAAGATCTGGAGAAGGGGCCATTCACAAATGAAAACACTAGACAAGAAATATGAATTTAGAAGGCATGCGGGCTAGGCAGAAACTTCCCTCTAGAGGAGAAGCTCCCCAAAGCCCTGGACCTGTTAGCTTTTATTAAATTTTAGATACACATCTTGCCCTCAGTTAGGCATGGCAATCTGGTAGCAAACAGACTATCTCAAAGGTCAGTAAATATTAGTAAAGATTTAGTTTGAGACTATTGGTCAGGAAATTGCTTCGAGCCACCACTCTCTAGGCAGAACAATCAGTGCATAGGTTTAGGCCTTGCTAAAACTCAAGGTTCATCAGCCTTCCAAGTTCCTTGTTGCACTTTCATGATAGTGTTTGACAGTGGATGGTTTCTTGCAATTGTGCCCTGGCTGGGTGGCTCAGTTGCCTGGAGCATTGTCTCATACACCAAAAGGTTGCAGGATCAATTCCCTATCAGGGCACACACATAGGTTGAAAGTTAAATCCCCATTCCGGGTGTGTACAGGAGGCAACCGATCACTGTTATTTCTCACATCCATGTTTCTCTCTCCCTTCCTCTATAAAATCAACAAACACATATCCTCTGGTATGGACTTAAAAAAAGGAAAGAAAATATGATAATTGTATAGTGTGTACTAGAGGCCCAGTGCACAAAATTCATGCATGGGGGGTGGTCCTTTCAGCCCAGCCTGCACCCTCTCTAATCTGGGACCCCTTGGGGGATGTCCGACTGCCTGTTTACGCCTGATCCTGGCAATCGGGCCTAAGCCGGCAGTTGGACATCCCTCTCACAATCCAGGACTGCCAGCTCCTAATTGCTCACCTGCCTGCCTGCCTAATTGCCCCTAACTGGCCCCCCTGCCAGCCTGATCACCCCTAACCACCCCTGCCTGCTGACCTGATCACCCCTAACTGCCCCCCTGCCAACCTGGCTGCCCCCAACTGGCCTGGTTGCCCCTAACTGCCTCCCCCACTGGCCTGGTTGGCCTTAATTGCCCCCCTCTGTGGGCCTGGTTGCTCCTCACTGACCCCCTGCTGGCCTGGTAGCCACCAACTGCCCCCCCTGCTGGCCTGGTTGCTACCAACTGCCCCTGCCCCCCAGCTTGGTAGCAGCTGATGGCCTTCCCTGCTGGCCTGGTTGCCCCTCACTGCCCCCTCTGCCAGCCTTGTTGCCCCACACAGCCTACTGCTCAGCGTTTGGTCATCACTCACTAACCCCTCGGCTGGCCTGGTTGCTCCACAGAGCCTGCTGTTCAGTTGTTTGGTCGTTCCTCATTAACCCCCTTACCGGCCTGGTCGCCCTACGCAGCCTGCTGCTCAGTCATTTGGTCGTCACTCACTAACCCCCCTGCTGGCCTTGTCATCCCACTCAGCCTGTTTGGTCATTTGTTTGGTTGTTTCAGATGTGATGGCCTCTGGCTCTTTATATATATACTAGAGGCCTGGTACATGAAATTCGTGTGGGGCGGGGGTGGGGGGGGTGTCCCCCAGCCTAACCTGCAAGAGATGTCTGACTGCCTCTTGCAATCAGGGACCGCTGGCTCCTAACCACTCGCCTGCCTGCCTGCCTGATCGCCTCTAACCGCTCTGCCTGCCTGTCTGATCACCCCTAATCCCTCCACCTGCCTGCCTGATTGCCCCTAACTGCTCCCCTGCTGGCCTGATCGCTCTTAACTGCCTCTGCCTCACCCTGCACCCAGGACTCAAGATTCCCTCCTCTGGCTGGTTGCAAGCACCCGGGACCTGGGCTTCCCTCCCTCTGGCTGGCCATAGGCACCCAGGACCCAGGCCGGCTTCTCCTGGGCTGGCTGAAGGTGCCTGGGACTGTGGGGCAGACGGCTTGTCCTTCTCCCGGGCCACAGCCTGGCTGGTCCCCATTCCTCTCTCTTGAGCTCATTTGTGCCTATCTGGCCCCTGTTCCTCTCTCGTGAGCTCATTTGTGCCTGGCTGGTCCCATTCCTCTCTCCCCAGTGTTGAGCGTCTCAGCAGTTATGGTGTGGTGGCGTGAGGGCGTGATGATATGAGGGCGTGATGACCATTTGCATATTAGCTCTTTATTATATAGGATAGATGTGTGTGTGGAAGAAGATAGATGTTAAACAAATATAAATTAGGTAATTTCATTATTCAAAAATTGGGTGTGACTATGCAAATAAGTGGAATAAAATGAAAAAATATGTCACAAAATTCTACAGTGTGATAGTGAATGATTTTTAATTAATTTATTTTATATATCTAAATATTTGACTACATAATTATCCTCAGGGCTCGACCCAAAAATCTATTTCTATTGGAGTAATAAAGTAGGACCTGAAGACTGTTTGAAGTAAGTGCCCTACCAGTTACTTATCCTGATTTCATAGAAATAATCTTTATCCGGGTAAAACAGGGCACTGGTCATCCCTTCCTAATAAGCTGACCCTCACTTTCTCATGATGCTACAGGTTTATGGGACTGTCTTCCACATGAACCAAGGAAACATGTTCAAGCTAAAGGCCCTGGTGGACAAGTGGCCTGATTTTAATACAGTAGTTGTCCGCCCTCCGGAGCAGGTAAGGTGCCACATGTGAAATGCATGCACTTCTATTTGCTATACTAGCATGTGTCTACAATGCACATGGCAATGTAGACCCAGGGGACAGAGAAATAAATCACGATGCTGTTGAAAAGGTCCTTGTCCTCAAGGAGTTTACAGCCTGAAGGAAAATATAGGTAAGCAAATAAATGACAATATGGTGTGAAAATGTATGAAAACACTCATGAACATACAAGTAACAGAAGCAACACTGGATAAGAAGTGATTCAAGCCTAGATGTCAGGGTATGGAGGGAGACGAAGGGAATCTTCCTGGTAACCATTTCACCCAAACTGGATTTTGAAGATAAATAGGTTTTTGACAGCTTGACAAGAACAGAAGGTACATTCTAAGCAGAGAAAATAACACTGAAGAATAGGTTATTTAAATATGAAGAATGTTAGGGAAATATAAAGAACAAATTGCAATGCCGGCGATACATTTTCAGTACCAGCTTCTAAACAATATCTCAAACTCATATATGACAATCCTATAGCTAACATCACACTAAACAGGAAAATCTGAAAGCATTTCCTTTAAGATCAGAAATAAGACAAAAATGTCCACTTTCACCACTCTTACTCAACATGGTACTAGAAGTCCTGGCTACAGCAATCAGGCACAAAAAAAATAAATAAATAAAAATAAAGGAGAAGAAGAAATATATGGATCCAAATTGGAAAGGAAGAAGTATAATTGTCATTATTTGCAGATGACATTATACTTTATATAGAAAACCCTAAATATTTTTTTAAATTTAAATTCTTTATTGTTTAAAATATTACATAAATCTCCTTTTGCCCCATTGACCTCTCCCTGCCCAATCCCACTGCCCAGTAATGCCCTTGCGCCCCCACCCCCATCTGTGTCCATTGGTTATGCTCATACAAGTCCTTTGGTCTATCTCTTACCCCCTCACTTCGCCCCCCACCCATCTTCCCTCATAGGTTGGATAGTCTGTTCAATGCTTCTATGACTCTGGTTCTATTTTTGTTCATCAGTTTATGTTGTTCATTATATTCCACAAATGAGTGAGATCATGTGATATTTATCTTTCTCTGCCTGGCTTATTTCGCTTAGCATAATGCTCTCCAGTTCCATCCATGCTGTTGCAAATGGTAAGAATTCCTTCTTTTTTACAGCAGCGTAGTATTTACAGGGAACTCATACAACTTAACAAAAGGAAGATAAACAATCCAATCAAAATATGGGCCACAGACCTAAGTAGACACTTTTCAAAAGAAGACATACAGAAGGCCAAGAGACATATGAAAGCATGCTCAAAGTCACTAATTATCCAAGAGATGCAAATCAAAACAACAATGAGGTACCATCTGACGCCTGTCAGAATGGCTATCATCAACAAATCAACAAATGACAAGTGCTGGCGAGAATGCGGAGAAAAAGGAACGCTCTTGCACTGCTGGTGGAAATGTAGACTGCTGCACCACTGTGGAGAACAGTACGGCATTTCCTCAAAAAATTAAAAATGGAACTGCCATTTGACCCAGTGATCCCACTTCTAGGAATATATCTCAAGAAATCAGAAACACCAATCAGAAAGGATATATGCACCCCTATGTTCATAGCAGCACAGTTTACCATAGCTAAGATTTGGAAACATCCTAAGTGTCCATCAGCAGATGAGTGGATAAGAAAACGGTGGTACATCTTCACAATGGAATACTATGCTGTTGTAAAAAGGAAATCCTAAACATTTTACACACACACACACACACACACACACACACACACACACACAGAGAGAGACAAATACTAGAACTCTCTCCCTTCTTCTCTCTCTCCAAATTAATAAAAACATATCCTCAGATAAGGATTAAAAATAAATATACATAAAATAAAAATAAATTCAACATGGTCCTGGCATATAAACAAATACATCAATCAAAGGAACAGAATAGAGAGCCCAGAAATAAAACTCAACACATATACAAAAAGACCAATCTGATTTTTAAAAAGGGGGGGGGTGGGGACAGCAGGCCTGAATAAACACTTCTCCAAAGATGGCATACAGATGGCCAATAGACATATAAAAAATGTGCAATGTCACTAACCATTAGAGAAATGCAAATTAAAACCATAATGACATATCACCTCACACCTGTCAGGATGTCTCTTATCAATAAATCAGCAAACAACAAGTGTTGGCAAGTATGTGGAGCAAAGGGAATCATTTGGTGGGAATGCAAACTGGTGCAGCCATTATGGAAAATTGTATGAAGTTTCCTCAAAAAATTAAAAATGGAACTAAGCAGAGAAAATAACACTGAAAAATAGGCTATTTTTATTACCCAGAGATTCCATTTCTGGGCATATATCTGAAAAAATCCAAATTGCTAATTTCAAACAATACATATGCACTCCTGTTTATTGCAGTGTTATTTGCAATAGCCAAGATATGGAATCAACCCAAGTGCCTATCAATAGATGAGTGGGTATAAAAGTGGTGGTACATATATACAATGGAATATTATTCGGCCATAAAAAATAATGAAATCTTACCATTTGTGACAGCATGGATGGACCTAGAGAGTATTATACTAAGTGAAATAAGTCATAAGTAATTCAGAAGAAGACAAATACCATATGATTTCACTTATATGTGGAAATGAAAGAGCCAAATAGGTGAGCAAACAGTGTATAAACAGACTCATAGATACAGAGAAGAGACTGATGGTTGCCAGAGGGGAGGGATGTGTGAGAACTTGGTGAAAAAGGTGAATGTATCAAGAAGTACAGATTAGTAGTCACAAAATAGTCGTGTAGATATAAAGTACAGCATGGGGAATAGAGTCCATAATATTGTAATAACTATGTTGCTGCCAGGTGGGTACTGAAAACATCAGGGGACCACTTTGTAAAGTATATGATTACCTAAGCACTATGCTGTACATCTGAAACTATTACAAAATAATATTGAATGTAAACTGCCATCCTATATAATAAAGAGCTAATATGCTCATTAGACCAGAGGGCGGAATGACCTTCTGGAACTACCAGTGGGCAGGGGGTGGAGCTGCAGGGCCAGGAGGCAGCAGCCTGGGCTGCAAGGGCTGAGGCAGCTGGGGTTGTGAAGGCCTACCCTTGCACATATTTCATGCATTGGGCCTCTAGTTAATAAATAAACTTAAGAAGAGAAAAAATAAAATTACCCAAACTAAGTACTTCATACATTTCATATACAGTATGTTATAAAGCATATAGAAAATATAAAGCAAAAACTTATGTATGCAAGAATATATAACTATATAATATCATCCTATATAATAAAAGCTTAATATGCTAAGTGTCCGGTCATCTGTTCAACCAATCAAAGCGTAATATGCTAATGATATGCTAAGGCTACTCAACAGCTCGCTATGACATGCACTGACCACCAGGGGGCAGACACTCAATGCAGGAGCTGCCCCCTGGTGGTCAGAGCACTCCCACAGGGGCAGCACCACTCAGCCAGAAGCCAGGCTCATGGCTGGCGAGCACAGCGGCAGTGGCGGGAGCCTCTCCCGCCTCTGCAGCAGCACTAAGGATGTCCAACTACCAGCAGTCAGACATCCCCCAAGGGCTCCTGGACTGTGAGAGGGTGCAGGCTGGGCTGAGGTGACCCTCACCTCCCCCCACCCCTCACTGGCGTGCATGAATTTCGTGCACCAGACCTCTAGTTTTAATATAAAATATTTACAAATAAAATGTAAATGTATAGTGCTTTTCAGAAAATACCAAACTAGACAGCATACAAAATGAAGATATTTAGCTCAATTGAAATTTAAAATGAAAAAATGTTTACTTTTCAAATTGATCTTAAAAGCATAGATTTTCCTTGTATTAATGCAGTGCATTTCTGTATAACACTTTTTGGCCATTCTACCCTCATTGAGTTGTTGTTCTCTAACTCCTTCCTTCATTTTCCAATAATTCCATCTCGTATATAATAATTTTGAGAATATACTTTTGAATAAATTTTGCATATCAACTTTGTTGGAAATGCAAATTATCCTATCTAATAAAAGAGAAACATGGTAATTAGCCATACCTCTGCTACTCTTCCGATTGGCTAATCAGGGTGATATGCAAATTAACTGCCAGCCAAGATGGCGGCCGGCAGCCATGCAGCTTGAAGCAAACATGAGGCTTGCTTGTTTCAGTGACGGAGCCTGCCGCTGCCGGCCTCTGAGCTTGCAGTTTGAAACATTGTTACAAATGTAGAAGCTAAACAAAACCCCAGAAACCTGCTTTCAGCCAGCTGGGTTTCAGCCAGCAGGACCGCAACATTGTTTCAATTATAGAACAAACGCAGATCCCTGCTTTCAGCCAGCCGGGATCTCAGAGCTGGAATTAAAACAGTGTTTCGATTATAGAACCCAAACAAACCAGATACCTGCTTTCAGCAGCCGAGGCCTAAGAGCTGGAGCCAAGCCTCAGAGCTAAAGCTGGCCCAGAATAACAAAAAAAAAAAGAAAAAAAGGAGAGGTTGGGAGCTTCAGTCACCCGTCAGCCTGAAAACAGCCCTCAGCCCCTCACCCAGAGTGGCCAGGCACCCCAGTGGGGACCCCCACCCTGATCCAGGACACCCTTCAGGGCAAACCAGCCGGCCCCCACCCGTGCACCAGGCCTCTATCCTATATTGTAAAAGGGTAATATGCTTCCCAGCACTGGGATCAGCGGAGCCGCGAGGCCTCCCAGCACCGGGATAGCATGACAGGGGGCAGCGCCCAAACCCCCTGATCGCTCTGTGGCTCTGTGTGTGACAGGGGGCAGGGCCACAACCTCCCTATCTGCCCTGCTCTGTTCATGACAGGGGAAGGGACCCCAAACCCCTGATCAGCCCTGCTCTGTGCCTGATAGGGGGGAGCTTCCCAACCCCCTGATAGCCCTGCGGCTCTGTGCGTGACAGGGTGCGGCACCCCAACCCCTTGATCGGCCCTGCTCTGTGGGTGATAGAGGGTGGTGCCCCAACCACCCCCCATGGGCCCTGCTCTGTGTGTGACGGGGTAGAGCCATAACCTCCCCATTGGCCCTGCCCTGAGTGTGACAAGGTGCGGTGCCCCAACCCCCTGATCTGCCCTGCTCTGTGTGTGACAAGGGGGAGCTCCCCAACCCCCTGATAGGCCCTGCTCTGTGAGTGACAGGGGGTGGCCCCGCAACCTCCCAATCCGCCCTGCTCTGTGCATGACAGGGGGCGGCGCCCCAACTCCCCAATCGGCCCTGCTCTGAGCCCGACCAGGGGCTGCACCTAGGGATTGGGCCTTCCCTCTGCCACCCAGGAGCAGGCCTAAGCCAGCAGGTCATTATCTCCCGAGGGGTCCCAGACTGTGAGAGGGCACAGGCCGGGCTGAGGGACCCCCACCCCCCGCCCCACCCCCCGAATGCACAAATTTTTGTGCACCGGGCCTCTAGTTTTTTAAATAATAGTGCATTGTAGTTTGCATTTCAAAGACATTGAGCTTCTATAATTTGTATAGCATTATCATACGTATGTGAGAATGCTAATTTGTTTAGCATTGTTTCCCTCATCTGTCTCAATTTTAATGTTGTCATGTTCATAATCAATTTGTTCTGAGACTCTTTAAAATGGAGTAAGATTTACTCTTGCAATGGAAACTTGCCTTTGATAAGAGTACTTTATTTTTCCCGAGGATTCCAGAATTACAGAAGAATTCTTTCTAAAGCAGTACAGTTTGGTTGATTCAAACTTGTAATGCAAGATATAAATATCCAGTTCAGCAAGTTTTTCTTAATCAGAAATTGAATAATTGAGTAAATATGTAACGTGGTTTTATTATGTAAGCGATACACAGATATTGATAGCATATTAAGAAAAATATCAATATTGAAGTTTGTAAAGTAGTAAAGTAGTATAATGAAAATCCTAAACTCAGGTATTCCAGTCCCTTGTTATAAACCATTTGATTTATCTCACATTACTCAATGAAACAGGAGATGACAGATTACTTTGATCATTATACCAATACCTACCAAATCTATTCCAAGGATCCCAAGGACTGTCAAGAATTCCTTGGCACATCAGACGTCATCAATTGGAAACAACATTTACAGATCCAAAGTAAGTTAAAAACCTGGGATGTGTGTTAGCTGCTGGGACAGCTAATGTCTATACCTGGTGGATCACTTTTCATCCCAAGAATATTCATCTATTACATTTATTCCTTCTACCAAACCCTAGACACTCAACTTGATGTTCATTTCTTGTATCAGCTGCCACCACCTTTTTCTTCAGGGTGGTAGAATTCAAACTGCAAATTATGGGGTTCATATAGGGAAATGTGAGTAAGTAAACTTCTTGTTAGCTGAGGATATATTTTTGCAGTCATATTCTGGATCCCACAGGGTGATTAGGTATAAGAGCAGAGCTACCCCTATGGCCTCCATCCCCAGAATAAGAATGATAGCATCTTGTGCCATAAAGCACATCCCAGGTGACAAGGACAACTGTCATGCTTATAATCATACCCTCTAGAGTCAGGCTCCCTAGGGTGGCATCCTTGCTCTGCAGGTTAATTTCTTTGTGATCTTGAGCAAGTGATGTAACTAGTCCATTATTCAGATTTTTTTGGATATAAAAAGAAATGAGGATACTAAAAGTATGTATAACATAGGGTCAATGTAAGGATAAAATATGGTACTAGACCAATACCTGGGCATGTTGTATGTGCCTATGCAAGCATGGCTACTATTCTTAACTATCACTTCTCCTTTGATTTCACAGTCATAGAGTCAGGATTTCTAGTATTACCTCTGTTTTGTAGTATTTCACTTGTCTCCTTACTTTACCCCCCTCTAGGTTCACAGTCCAGCCTGGATGAGAAAATACGCAATCTTGCAGCCATAAAACAGGTCAAAGTCAAGCAATCCCAATGCATCCTCTATATGATGCCCAAGACAGCCAGAAGACTGCTCCCTTCCCTGCCAGAGGCAAACAACTTTACTCTTAAAACTGGCAAACCCAAATTCATGTGAGTTTGAAAAAAAGATGCTCTCACTACTCACATCTTTCACTACTTTCCTTCCTACATTCACTCTTGCCTCCCTACAATTCATTTCCAGTACTATGTCAAACAGGAGTGGTGAAAGTGGGCATTCCTGTCTTGTTCCTGTTCTTAGGCGAAATGGTTTTAGTTTTGGCCCATTGAATATGATGTTGGCTGTAGGTTTGTCAAATAAGGCTTTTATTATGTTGAGGTATGATCCTTCTATTCCCACCTTGCTGAGAGTTTTTATCAAAAATGGGTGTTGGATTTTGTCAAATGCCTTTTCTGCATTGATTGCTATGATTATGTGATTTTTGTCTCTTTGTTTGTTTATGTGATATGTCAGGTTTATTGATTTGCGGATATTGTACCATCCTTGCATCCCTGGAATAAATCCCACTTGGTCATGGTGTATGATCTTTCTAATGTAATGCTGCATCCAACTTGTTAGAATTTTGTTGAGTATTTTACCATCTATGTTCATCAGGGATATTGACCTATAATTCTCTTTCTTTGTAGTGTCTTTATCTGGTTTTGGAATTAGGATAATGCTGGCCTCATGAAAAGAGGTTGGAAGTGTTCCTTCTTCTTGGATTTTTTGGAATAGTTTGAGTAGGGTAGGTGTTAGTTCTTCTTTGAATGTTTGGTAAAACTCCCTTGTGAAGCTATCCAAAATAGGGCTTTTGTTTGCTGGGAGATTTTTGATTACTGCTTTTATTTCATTAGTAGTTATTGGCTTATTCAGATTTTCTTCTTCCTTATTCAGTTTTGGAAGACTGTTTTCTATGAATTTTTCCATTTCATTCACATTGTCCAGCTTGTTGGCATATAGTTGTTCATAGTATTTTCTTACCATTCTTTGTATTTCTGTGATGTCAATTGTTACTTCACCACTTGCATTTGTTATTTTATTTATTTGAGTCCTCTCTCTTTGTGTCTTGATGAGTCTGGCTCAAGGTTCATCAATCTTGTTTATCTTTTGAAAGAACCAGCTCTTGATTTCATTGATTATTTTTGTGGTGTGTGTGTGTGTGTGTGTGTGTGTGTGTGTGTGTGTGTGTTGTCTTTATGTCATTTATTTCTACTCTAATCTTCATTACTTTCTTCCTTTTACTTGCTTTGGGGATTTTCTTGTTGTTCTCTTTATAATTCTTTAATGTGTAGGGTTAAATAGTCTATTATTAATTTTTCTGGGGTTTTTTTTGAGCTAGGCCTATAATGCTATGAACTTCCCTCTCAGAACTGCTTTTACTAAGGATGCTCTTAATATCCCTATTTTATGAAGAAATAAATGGAGACAGAGAGACATTATGTTGCCCGCTAAAGATCGCACAGCTAAGTCAGATTATGCATCCGTGCATGCTGGCTATAGATGCATTACCCAGAGATAATTTTGAGGAAAATAAATATAATCCTACACAGTGTGTGTGATATTACAGGCTGTTCATCTCTCTTTTCTAACAGTAATGAAGAGCTGTTTAAACTCTCCTCCCTGGATGTTACCCATGCTGCCCTGGTGGATAAATTCTGGCATTTTGGTGGCAATGAGAGAAGCCAGAGATTCATCAAGCGCTGTATTCAGACCTTCCCCTCCTTCTGTCTTCTGGGGCCTGAGGGAAGCCCTGTGTGCTGGAACCTGATGGACCAGACAGGAGAGATACGAATGGGGGCCACCCTGCCTGAGTACCGGGGCCAGGGTCTAATATCCCATATGTTGTTTGTCACTACTCAGGCTTTGGATAAACTTGGCTTTCCTGTATATAACCATACAGACAAAGCCAACAGTATCATACAGAAAGCCAGTCATAATCTGCACCATGTCCGCTTGCCCTGTGACTGGAACCAGTGGCAATGTGTGCCTCTTTGAAGCAGCCCTGAACACAAGACAGTGTTGAGTGGGTTGGTCCTACAGCAGGAGAAACATGTGGATGGATGCAAAGAAAAAAGGAACGATGATCAGCAATAAAGCAGTTCATGTTTTGTGAGCTCTGTAGAAGCAGTGTGGGTGGTCAAGAGGACTGACACAGTCCCGGCTCATGAATTTCCCCTGGGTCCAGCAGACCTGGAATAGACAGAACTTGCTGTAGTGAACCCTGATCTTGTTCTGTTTCCTACACTTCTGGATCTCAGTGATACTCTTTATTAAACTGCACACTGCCCTAACACTTCTCCTGGTCTCCTATCTCCATGTGGATTGTTGTTGTCAATGGGGAAATTGGACAGGTACATTGCAAAAAAAAAAAAAAAAGAAAGTAGGCCTCATTTATACCCTACACAAGAATAAACTCAAAATGGATCAAAGATCTAAATGTTAGACCTGAAACCACAAAAATCCTAGAAGAAAACATAGGCAGTAATATCTTGGACATTTCTCATAGCATTATATTTTCTGATATATCTCCTAGGACAAGGGAAACAAAAGAGAAAAGTAAATGTGACTATATAAAACTTAAAAGTTTTGGACAACAAAGGAAACCATCAGCAAAAGGTAAAGACAACCCACTGAATAAGAGAACTTATTTGTGTATACATCTGATAAGAGGTTAATATCCAAAATTTATAAAGAACTTATAAAACTCAACACCAATCAAACAATCTAGTTAAGAAATAAGCAAAGGACCTGAACAGGCACTTCTCCAAAGAGGACAAGCATGGCCATTAGATATATGAAAAGATACTCAACATTACTAATCACCAGAGAAATGCAAATTAAAACCACAATGGGATATCACCTCACCCCTGTCAGAATGGGTATTATCAATAAATCAACAAATAACACATTTTGGTGAAGATGTGGATAAAGGCAAACCCTTGTGCACTTTTGAAGGGAATGCAGATTAATGCAGCCATTTTGAAAAGCAGTATGGAGTAAGCTCAAAAAATTAAAAATGGAACTGCTTCATGACCCAAGATTTCACTTCCAGGAATTTATCTGAAGAAACCGGAAACACTAATTTTTTAAAATAAATCTTTATTGCCGAAACCGGTTTGGCTCAGTGGATAGAGCATCGGCCTGCGGACTGAAAGGTCCCAGGTTTGATTCCGGTCAAGGGCATGTACCTGGGTTGCGGGCACATCCCCAGTAGGAGGTGTGCAGGAGGCAGCTGATCGATGGTTCTCTCTCATCGATGTTTCTAACTCTCTATCTCTCTCCCTTCCTCTCTGTAAAAAATCAATAAAATATATTTTTAAAAAAATTAAATAAATAAATAAATAAATAAATAAATCTTTATTGTTGAAAGTCTTACATATGTCTCATTTTTCCCCCCATTGGCACCATCTAGCCCACCACTACCCCCCACCCGAGGCCTTCACCACCCTATTGTCTGTGTCCATAGGTTATGCATATATGCATACAAAATCTTCAGTTGATTACCTCCCACCCATGCACATTCTCCCTTCTTCCCTCCAAGATTCTGCACTCTATTCTATGCTTCCATGTCTCTGGATCCGCTATGTTCATCAGTTTATTTTGTTAATTATATTCCACATATGAGTAAGATCATGTGATACTTGTCTTTCTCTGACTGACTTATTTCACTTAGCATGCTATCTCAAAGGGTAAGAAATTCTTTTTTTCTACTGCTGCATAATATTCCATGGTATAAATGTACCATGGCTTTTTTATCCACTCACTAACTGATGGGCATCTACTGATCTTAGTTATTGTAAATGGTGCTACTATAAACATAGGCGTGCATACATTCTCTGAAACACTAATTTGAAAGAATATATGCACCTTTCTTTTTATTATAGCACTATTTACAATAGCCAAGATTTGGAAGCAGCCCAAGTACCCATTAGTAGATGAGTGGATAAAAAAAGCTATGTCACACACAATAGAATACTACTTAGCCATAAAAAAAGAAAGAAATCTTACCTTTTGCAACAGCATGGATGGACCTGGAGAATATTATTGTAAGTAAAATAGTTCAATCAGAGAAAACACATATCATAAAATTCCACTTAAAGGTGGATTCTAATGAACAAAATAAACTAACAAACAAAATAGAAACAGACTCATAGCTGTCAGAGGAGAGGTAGTAGGGAGGCTGGGTAAAACAGGTAAAGGAATTAAGCAAAAAAAAAAAAAATTTCATAGACAGAAAACAATATAGCCATTCCCAGAAGGAAATGTGGATAGGGGAACCTAGAGAGGGTTAATGGGAGATAAATGATGATGGAAAAAGACATAGAGACACAACGTGGGATAGTAAACACACAATACAATATATAGATAATGTATTTTAGATTTGTACACCAAAAACTTATATAATTTTATTAACCAACATAACCCCAATAAATTCAATAAAAAATTAAATTAAAAATAATAATAATGAATCTTAGCAAATATTTAAGTGGTTAGCACAGTATTGTTATCTATATGCACAATGTTGTACAACAGATCTCTGGAACTTTTTCATCTTGCACAACAGACATACTTTGCCCTTTGAGCAAGTCATTATGCTTCCCCCTCCCCAGCTCCCAGTAAGTACCACTCTATCCTCAGCTTCTATGAGCATCATTACTTTAGATACCTCATTTAAATGGAATCATACATTCTTTGTCCTTCTGTGACTGGCTTATTTATTTAGCATAATGTCCTGAAGTTTCACCTATATTGTCACATATGGCAGGATTTTTCTCTTTTTCAAAGACTGAATTATATATATATCAGTAGACCACATTTTCTTGATCAAGTCATCTGTTGAGAGACACTTAGGTTGCTTCCACTTCTTGGCTATTGTGAATAAGGCTGCAATGAATATGAGAGTGAAGAAAGCTATTCAAGGTCCTGATTTCAACTCCTGTGAATACATTCCCAGAAGTGGGATAGCTGGGGAATAAGATAGGTGTACTTTTTTGTGTGGAATTCTCATAAGGATTATAACAGTAGCTACACTATTTTACATTCCTATCACTAGTGCACAAAAGTCCCAATTTCTCCATATCTTTCTCACACTTGTTTGTTTCTGCCCCCCCAAAACTGAGCACAGGAAGAATTCAAAACCCTACCAAGTATTATTATTTACTGCTCTTCATATATACAGAAAAAGAGCACGAAAGATGAAAAAGTCTGTCCAAGGTCACATCGTAGGTAAGTAATGCAGTCAGGATCTCAATCCTGTTAGTTTGGCCCCATTGTTCTCTCTCTGAGCCACTATGCTAGGCTGCTTCTATCATCATTGCCAGCACCTCACTCCATTACCCAGGGAAAAACACAGAGATGAAGACTGACACCAGAGCTCCTGAACCCCTTTCCTTGTACCTTATCCCAAAGAATGTAAGAAAATTTCTGTTCATTACTTCATATAACACAGCAAGGATAAAAGCACAGAGTCAAGGAAGAGCAGAACAGTGCTTGGTTATCTGGTACGAAAGCACTCTCGACAGCTGGGGAAACAACCTGGAGAGGTTGAGAAACTAGTTTAAGATACAAGGCTTGTGGGTAGAGGCCCTGGAATCTTCTGAGTGACTGAGTGCAGGTGATGGCTGAAGGAGAGAGAGGACTAGGGGTCTGACTTCAGGCACTGGGCACAGAAGGATCCCACTCTTTTGCTGTAATCAACTTTAGTGAGAAACAGACACTACTTGGGGCAAAGGGGCCCACTCTATTGATAGTGACAGAATAGTTTCATTGGCCTTTGGCTTTAGAGAAAGAGTAATAAATGATCATAATGACTTTAACCCAGGAGATAAGATTGAAAATTAATAGTCTAGGAGGGACGAGACTCCTAGAAAGAGCAGAAAAAAATATATGCAAACCTGTGTTGTGCTGATCCATGGACTGAAGGAGCACTCAAGCTCTTCTTTCTCTCTGGACACCAGTTACACCTGTCTCTGCTCCTCTGATTAGAGTTACTCTTGTTGCCTCCACACTGAAACTAATGTGTAAGCAAGGATTAATGTGATGAGGACAAGATAGAGATAGTGTCAAACTTCCCTTGTTAGTTGTTTCGCACAGTGGCTTTGATATTCAAAATATCACTTCTATGAATTCCCCTTTCTTTTCTGAGAATGGTAGAGCAAGAGTTAATGTGAGGCAGTGAGCACATTGGAGTGAAGAGTCTCTGGGTTTAAATTCTATCTAATTCAGCCATATTGGGCCTCCGTGTTCTTCTTTATACAAGTGAGACTAAGCCCAGCCAATATGGCTCCGTGATTGAGTGTCTACCCATGAACCAGGAGGTAACTGTAAGATTCCCGGTCAGGGCATAAGCCTAGGTTGTGGGCTTGATCCCCAGTGGGGTGTGTACAGGAGTCAGCCAATCAATGATTCTCATCATTGATGTTTCTATCTTTCTCTCCCTTTCCCTTTCTCTCTCTCTCTCAAATCAATTAAAATAACTTTTTTTTAAAAAAAAAAAGTGAAACTAAGAAGTGCCTATATTGAGTCATATTTAGGATGCTTATCTGAAGCTTCAGAATGGTCAGTGGAGATGGCAGTGCTTACACTAAAAAAGGAGAGTTCTAACAGTTTTAGTCACTCCATACATGTGATATTCTGTTCTGCATATGTGTAAGAAAATAGATCAGATTCTATAAATCAGATCTCATCTATATCTTTCCTACAATCTTGCTCTTATTGAAAATGAGAAGAGAAGAAAGTATTGTCTACACAGTCTTACTCTCCTACCAGTATCTGGCCTGGTAGTTTCACACACATTGTAGTGTCATAGGAGGGCCTGTGGGGGCAAAGAGCAACCTGGCATTTGGTGGGGGTAGCTCAGCCTCTGAATATTGCAGAGCCAGCTCCTTCACCCTGAACCCAGAGAGGAAGGGTTGGATTTCATGAGAGCTGACACCATAAGATTTTGCTTTGTGCACTGTTCACCTTGCAAGCCTCAGCTCAGCAATTTCTGGAGGAGACATACTTAAATGCACTCTGTTAGATCCTGTTGAACTGCCTGCATTAAAATGTAATTGCATTATTGAGAAGTCTTCCATTCTCATTTGTCTCTGGGGACACCTGTGAAGATTGGTGTGGAGACAGCTCCCCAGGTAAGAACTTGTGCTTCTCTCCTCCCCGACAAAAGATAGGCATTGATTTTGAAATCCTCTCCACTTAAGTGACACAAATCAAAATGCTCCTATTGTGTTATGTTCAGTAACTCCATATACCAAAGGAAAATACATGTGGCACCTACTCTGTAAAAGCAACTTGTTAGGCACTATGAGCATTTTCCTGCAGGTTTCTGATCTGAACTGATAAATGAATGAGGAGAGAGTTGGGCACATTCTGGGAGC